GTACCGGGATGTGTAATATTTGTAATGTACTTAGTGCTAATAGTCGAATTAGTATCGTTTATGTATATTTTCAGATGCACGTTTCGAAAACCGTTGTATTTAACGTGCAGACTATATCTGGTTTATTTGCATTATTAGCATTATTATTGTTATTATTATTATTATTGCTGTTGTTGTTGTTGTTGTTAATGGTCAAAAGATTGGTTTGGTGAGTGAAACCGACACTCATCGTCTAATACGGATTCCTATACATATAATACCTATATATAAATGTACCGATATTGAGAAATTTTGCCTTATAAATATTGCAAATTTAAACAGCTTTTACAGTTGAGTGTGTGTGCGCTCAGGCGCGTGTGTGTGTGCGTGAGTTCGAATGAACTCACAACTCTATGGCTCTAGTCACTGGATCTAAAGAACGTCTTTATCCACTGGGCCATGTGTCCTCCAGAGCACAGCAGAGGTGAACCAAAACCTGGACATTTGAGTTAAAGTTAAATAACTGAGACATCCGAAAGAAGCATGGCACGTGGAACAAGAACAATTTCGGTGGACGAAATAAAGGGTTCGGTTCGAAATTCCAATCACCTGACGAAGTCGGGAACGTACAACGTCAGAAACGTTGTGAATAGGGCAATAAAGATGAGGATAACGGTCCGAATAATGTAAATAACGTAAGTAATCATAATACCTCATCTCAGGGATATAGACAAACAAATATTTATATCTGTGTGTCTGCGCCTACGTATACGTGCCATTGTATCTGCTCATTTACGTAAAGAAACTTAACATTTACAAAGTGGAATATTTTCTTAACGACGCGTTTCGCCAGAGAGCGTATGCTCTCTTTGGCTTCCCCGTGTTAAAATCAAAGAAAGACAAAACTGTGTGTCACGAAAATGCCTTGGTATCCCTGAGGAAAAGTGGGAATCATAAATCAAATGAATTGCCTTAGCTTATCACATACACTGCGTGTTTGTTTTATCTTTATCTGTATTAGAGCAGTCTGGTATTAGACGAACCCCGATAATTAACACTCTGTCTGATGAATATAGCAAATACAACACACACAAACACACACACAAACACACTAACACACACACATATTCTTAAGTTAATTAAGCGAAAAAAATTTTATACTAATTCTATTAACGCTCTATCTCTGTCTCCAATAGTGAGCACTTTACCACAAAGTTTTTTTGACTGAAATGTCTATCAGCAAATCCCTGAAAAATCAACAATTTTGGCTCAAAAAATATTCTCTCAAACTCACTCACTCTCTTTCTCTATCTCTTTCTCCCTCCCTATCTTTCTCTCTCTCTCTCTCTCTCTCTATATATATATATATATATATATATATATATATAAAGGGAAGTGGTTATAGTAGTTTCAACGAGAGAAAAATGTGTATATTAAAAAAAAGAGAGAAACCGCAAAAGTTTTATAATTTTTTTAATATATTATGCTTTATTTTCCATAATTTTGCTACACGTGTTTCCAGTCTCGCGACCTTCATCAGGCAAAGCGTGGAGATTTCCACATATTATTAAAAATATAATTTTTTTCTTATGTTTTTCGATGTTAAATATTCTCGATATGAGACATTATCTTTTTTATGTGTTAATGACCCAAATGTCTTCCTGAATTGGCAGTGAAAAGTTCTGCGTGAAGGTTTATATAACAATTAAGATTAGTCCGAGAAATGGTGAAGGGGTTATTGGTATTCGTATCTTTTAATGACCCCCATCTGTGTGTTCTTAGATCTATTTCCATTTTCTTCCAGAAGAACTACATAAAACTAAAAAAAAACGAGACTACCCCACAACAGTAATAAGCAAAGGTTTTTAACTCGCAAAAAAAAATTCCTTTAGACCAACTAAGAAATAAAAAGAAACGTAACGTCGAACAAAACTCTAGCATATGTCTCAACATACAACAAAAACAATCCACAAATATTCACAGAAATTACAAAATATCTAGACTTACTTAACAAGAATAATAATTTGAGCACTTTACCACAAAGTTTGCTTGCCTTAAATAGCTTTCTATCAACAGACCACTGAAAAACCAGCAACTTTGGCTTCAAGAACAGCCTTTCACATTGACACTATATATATATATATATATATATATATATATATATATATATATATATATATAGATTGAAGGAAAGCGGCACAGAGGAAAGAAACGGATAACCTACTTAGTGAGCTTAAGTAAATGGATGGTGGTACAAGGTTTAGGAGATATTTAAAACAATAACATTTATTAAGAGTTACAAAGGACAGGAAAGTGTGGGGAGCCATGATCGCTTACGTCCCGAAGGGACACGGCACATGAAGAGGAAGTCCGGTTGGCAATCTTTTTATTATTTTAATATTTTAAGTGCACACCTGATCAAATGGTGGTTTCTCCTACAAAGGAGGACGATGGTGCAGACCTTACTGAGGGAAACACAATTTCTTTAATGAGATTTCTCGAATGTGCAAAGGACCACAGATTCTAATTATAAGTTGTTTAAAATAAAAATTAAAAATGGGGTGACTATTTCTAATACGAATATCGCTATAATAACGTTAGAAGAAATATTGTTCAGAATTAACTACATCTGTCAAGAAAGTATGTTTAATATTGAAGCATGAAACTGACAGTCACTATGTTGTGCTGATTCCCATGTTCACAATCTCTCTCTCTCTCTCTATCTCTCTCCCTCTCTCTCTCTCTATATATATATATGTGTGTGTGTCTGTGTGTGTGTGTGTGTGTGTTTGTGTTAATAAATACACATGTACCTAAGTTTGATGTGCGACTCGAGTTTCGTTTGTCACACAGCTCATCGGGCACGAGATATAGCATATTGTTTATTTTAAAATATATATATACAGATGCACAGGGGACGGATGCCAATTCATAGTTCAAAATTAAATTAGCACAAAAAAGTACTAAAGAAATACACAGACACACACACACAAACACACGCACGCACACACACACACACACACACACATATATATATATATATATATATATATATATATATATATATATATATATATATATATATATATATATATATTTGTGTGTGTGAGTATAGAGAGTAAAATAGTGAAAGGAAAACATATCTATATTCGAATATGCTGAAATAATTTAATATTCTATGATCCCCTTCAGCACTTTGGGGATCATGGCTCTCCACAATTTCTTGATACTACTACTACAGCTACTACTAATAGTAATGATAGTAATAATGACGACAATGGTGATTTGATGATGATTCCAATGATGATAGAAAAAGAGCACAATGATGATGATTATATGACAGATGATGATGATGATGATGGTGGTGGTGGTGATGACGATGATGATGATGACGATGATAAAAGACATTAACAAAAACAAGTTGAGGAACAAGACAAAATTATAATGTTATGAAAACCTTAAAAATAACGATGTGAGCAGGTGAAGGGATAAGGGTAATATTAATCGGAATGAGAATGAAGAAGAAAGAAAGAAAGAAAGAAAGAAAGAAAGAAAGAAAGAAAAAAGAAAGAAGGAAACAAAAGCTAAATAATAGTTGTAGTCGTGGTGAAGAGTGTCTAAATTTTCTGTGTGCCATCTTTCTTTAATGAAGAAGAAGAAGAAAAAGAAAGAAAGAAAGAAAGAAAGAAAGAAGATATTAATAAGACAATTAAAAGAAGACGGAAAGAAAAGATGAGGAAGAAGAAAACAAGTAAAATAAGACAATAAAAGGAAACGAAGAAAAGAAAGAGACAAGGATACGGAAAAAAAGAAGACAAGAAGTTGAATAAAAGAAGAAAATAGAAGAAGAAAAAGAAAAAGGCAAGAATAAAAGAAGAAATGGAGAAGAAGAAGAAGAAGAAGAAGATAAGAAAAAACAAGAAGAAGACTAAAGAAATGACAAAAAGAACACAAGAAAACAAGAAAGAAAAAGAAGATAAGAAGAAGAAGTAGTCGCAGTAGAAGAAGAAGAAGAAGAAGAAGAAAAGAAGAAGAAGAAGAAGAATGAATAGAAAAACAAAAGAAGACAAGCATGAGGCGAAAAAGAAGAAGAAAAAGATGGCAAGAAAATGAAGTCAAGAAGAAGAAGAAGAAGAAAAAGAAGAAGAAGAAGAAAAAGAAGAAGAATGTGTATTCGTGTGATTCTGGAATTTACAAAGAATGCACACAAAATCGAAAAATTAAAAACGAAATGGGGAAGTAAAACAAACGGAAGGCAGGAAATCGTGGAGAGCCATGATCACACAAATAACGAATGAACATGTCATATAGAAGAAGTGAGCAAACCGCGACAGCGACTAGTAGGAGAGAGAGAGAGGGAGGGAGAGAGAGAAAGTAATATAGGGAGATGCATGAAAGAGATAAAGAAAAAGTAAGTCCATCGAGGAGAGTGGGAGTTCGACACCGAGAATAGAATTTGCTAAGGTGAAAGAAAGAAAGAAAAAAAAGAAAGAAAGAATAAAAGAAGTACAGAAAGAAAGAAAAAGAAAGAAAGAAAGAAAGAAAGAAAGAAAGAAAGAAGAAATTGGCAAGGATTGTTTTTCTTCTTGGCAGCCATTGTAGTCAGAGAGAAATGCATAGAAAGAAGATCAGACATTACAAGAGAGTGTCAGGCAGAGGAGAAACAAGCAATGTAAAGAGGGAGTGAAGAAAAAATCGAAATAGACGAGGAGGAGGAGTAAGAGGAGGAGGAAGAGGAGGAAATATAGGAAATGAAGATCTCATGGAATCTTTCAGCTTGCGCAACTAGACTCTTCAGCACTCCTGATTTTACAAGCTGGTAATTGTACCAGAGGCTTCGGACTCGGAATATCATAGACTAATCTTCCAGTAGAATTCTCTGGCCTGAACTCGAACCAATCATCTTTTTTTTAGATCGGTTTGCAAAGAAAAAAAATTACCAGATGAGCAACGGTAACGATAATGCCTTGGTACTTGTTAAATCATTTAAAAGGGAAATAACTTACGAATGAAAAGAGGTACCGTGATATCTATATGAAACTCAAAGGTTTCCAGACTTACAAAGTAGGATAAAGCAACATATAATGAACAAGATTGTTCCTTTTTAGCCTTTTTTGTTTTAGAACTGAACATAAGTTGCTGTCATAATAGGATGTATATGTATATATATATATATATATATATATATATATATATATATATATATATATATATATATATATATATAACTGGATTGATGTGAGTGTATGACCCTTGGTTTCACGCTCTCTGCGATCGTCAGACAAACGTGAAACTCAGGGTCAAGCTCACATCACTCCAACTAAATATCTTAGCTCTATCAGAGATACTGAACGCTTTCAATAAGTTCTGCATACATAATATATAAATAATATATATAAATATTGTATATATATTTATATATATATATATATATATATATATATATATATATATATATATTATATATATATATATATATATATATAAATATTGTATATATATATATATATATATATACATATATATATATACATACACATTTTACACACACACACATATATATAGAGAGAGAGAGAGAGAGAAAGAGAGTGAGAGATAGAGAGTGAGAAAGAGGGAGTGAGAAGACAGAGATAGAGAAAGAGACCTTGGCTTGGTAGGTTGATTAGTCGGTTCTGTTTGTTTAGCGGCATATCAACGACTCTATGGGTTATTTAATGCCGAAACTTAAATATTTTGTACGCAATTTTATTTTATTTTGGGGACATAATAATGGTTTTAGCGAGACAATTCTTACTAATTAACCCATAGCTGGGGAAGATTAGCTGATTTCATACTTTTCCTAAGGGTATTTATGCGTAAGTGGCTATAACTAACTGGAATAAAACGAAATTGGGACTCGGCACCCCGAGTAACAATTTCGAGCCATTATTCATTACACCACCCGCACATCCAAGCTTACAACACCCGGTATTCTCAAGCGGTCACCTATCTAGGTACAGACCATGGTGGACGTTGCTTAACTTCAGTGATCGTACGGGAACTGGTATTTCAACACGATGTGGCCGTAAGCCAAAAGAACATGGGGAAATAAATGAATGAATGGTAAACAAAGTTTATTTATAAACACAAAGTTAAATGTAACTATCGTTTAATCTGACACAATGTATATTTGGGTAACAACCTTTCTTTCATACATGTTTCATTGAATATGACAGGCAAAGAATATTTGATGATTTTTTTTTTATTAGGTTTTCCTGATATTACAGTTTTTAATTCGGTGGGAGTAAGGCAGTGCATAACATACCCGTAGTGTCTATTGTCGCAAGCATTTTCGGTTTCTTATTTAGTAATTTTCAAGGTTTTTTTTTAAAAGTGTTGTTGAGTGTCTTTTTAAGATGTAGTCGTTTGATGCCTATGTAGTAGTAACGTTTATTAAGAGTCCTGCGAAAGGAACGTGTCTTGAATTTGAGTTGTCGACTTTCTATTTTTAAAAACTTTAAGCATATTATTTTCGTTGGTAAATAAGGTGAGATTGATACTGGGTGCCAGATGTTTTATGTAGAGAGCTCCTCTCACAGAAATATGTTTTAGGTGACGGGATTTATGAAGGATAATCATGTTATCGACCATAATTTACTGTATGAATTCTTTTACATTATAGTTGGTCAAATGTCTTTTTATGGCACTTTAATCAGATAAGTGACACGTAAGGCGTTTATTCAAGTAGGTAGTTGTATGACCTATATAACCATATATTGTGATCAGACATAAAGGACAAAGAGAACACCGAACGCGTTACAATCGGTAGAACGTACTGCACAAAGAAATTTTATAGAGGAACAATAGATGTTAGGGAAACTGAGGGAATAATTTGAAAACATTTATAGAATAGTCTCATTGTTTTGATGTTAGAAAGCATTTGTTTATTAAACATAGAATTCTAATCTGTACATTTCATCTTTATAATTCGTTTGCCTGGGCAACGCATCAGTAAAAACACTTTCATTTCTTTCAAGAATTTTTTCTAAATTATCTTTTTCTTGATTGTTTTTGTAGTAGCTTTTTCTCTCCCCACCTCTCTCTCTCTCTCTTTCTCTCTCTATATATATCTATATATATATATATATATATATATATATATATATATATATATATATATATATATATATATATATATATATATATATATATATATATATATATATGTGTGTGTGTGGTGTATTTTATATACCATATCTGTATAACTATCTATCATACAGATATTAGGTTCGATTTAAAAATTCTGTGAAATAGAACCAAGTTATTTATTAATGCCTCAACACATGTTTCCAATATTGCTCGATTTCCCTACACCGAAATCAAGATAGTTTTTCTTAAATTTTAATTTTGAGAATGTTTTGAAACTTGTGGGCAATAAACAACATACATATATATATATATATATATATATATATATATATATATATATATATATATATATATATATATATATGTGTGTGTGTGTGTGTGTGTGTGTGTGTG